ATATATATATATATATATACAGTATTAGTGCAAATCAAACGATGTAACAGGGAGTTTTAGGGTGCATTGGGGTCAAATTTAAATGTAATCTAATATTCCTCTTTAGATGCTATATTAACAAAGTACCGGTATAACATAACATCCAATATGGTGCAAATTGGATCATGCATGTGTTATTTAGAGCCACTAGTGTGCAAAGTGGGCAGGGGTAAAGTGAGTTCATCGAGCTACCACTGTAATGGGTGGGGCGGTTGTGGCAGAGTCGTAAGYGGAGTCATCCTGGAACCAGTAGGTAAGTGAGGAGGGACTTATTTGGAAGACCAAAGAGTGGAGAACTGCAATAACTGATCCAAGAAATGATAAGACTACGGACAAGGATGGCAGCAGCATAAGAAGTAAAGAAAGGATGAAGTCAGTTAATATTAAGGAAGTGAAAGTATGCAGACCATATGAGACTGAAATGAGAGTGTACTTTCCAGTGTGACACCTGGACTCTATACGTAGGGAGAGGGATRAACAGGGCTTTCAAGTTTCACGCATTGACCGTGAGACACGCATTTCATGACACATACATGCCACACTTGGCATTTCTCACGTCAAAACACGCACACACACTTTTATAAAAGGACCAATTTTCAGTTCAATGTTTTCCTCTCCGGCTGGACTGGCCTGTTCAGAAGAACTGCTTATACTTTGCCTAAAAAGATCCATCTTCAACTGTTTTTTGTTTTGTTTTTATTTCTGCATGGGGAGTTCTGAACTAGTGAATGCCATGTTCAGAGCCGATAGCAATTCTCCTGTATTTGAACTTTTCCAAGCTGTGAGTCATTATAAAAGGCTACAGCACAATGACAAGACAACTCCACCTCAGACTGATCCTTTCCACCTGTTGCATGCATGAATTATATTTAAAAAAAAACTTGCTCTCACGAGGATGGATCGGGTTGGTGGGAAGCTTCAAAACCAATCAGAGAGATCCATGAGGAACCAGTGGACTTCCCCCATGTTGATTAACCAATCAGACCTTCACTTGTGATATTATGCATATCATTTGCATACATTATCTGCCGCTCTCTCAAATGATCAGACAGTTGGACTAGATTCTACATGGAGTCACTGTTAATACCGTGACAGAAAAAGAAAATCAGGAATCATGAGAAATTTGATTGAGAGATTGGCTGTAGGGTTGAGGTCTTCAACAGACTTGGAAAGAAAGTGGAATTCTTTAAAAGGTTGGTGTTTTTACCGATAACTTATAGCAGGCCAGGTCAACTAGTAGATTGGGATCTACCAGTAGATCTTTAGCTGGTTAGCAGTAGCTCACGGAGCAATGGATCACGGAGCTTGTAGAACGAAACATTGTTCAACATTGCAGCCTTAAATGCACTCTTAGCAACGTTTGTTTAACATTGCATTCTTGAACGTGCTCCAGTCTCGCTAGTTTTGGGTGGTGTGAAACAACACTCCGAACATGGTCTTGCGAGATTAGGGTCATGTTTTTTGATACTGAGACTGGACGAGTAGATCTTGGCAAACTGCTGACTTCAAAAGTAGCTCTTGGTTCAAAAAAAGTTGGGCACCCCTGACTTATAGCTTAGCTTGCTGTATCTATTGTCTGTGTGTGTATTGTTATTGCTCGAGCCACCGCTTCTGCATCATTTAATGGTGATGTTTAGAATTYCTGTAAGTATAATATTATCAACGTATGTGTGACTGACTGCATTATGCAGTATGCAGTGTGAGGCTAGCATGGATGCAAGGAGTAAAGCTATAGCAGTAGGCTACAGTAAAAACAATAAGGTTCACTGTACCTGTTTATTGACAGAAAGTACAGGGATTGGTCCAGTGTTGATCTTTTACCTACGATAAAATGTTCGAAACAGACGTTAGGTTCTTGGTTGCACTTCTTTTTGATCAAATTCAGCTTGTCCCATTGTTCGAATCCAGCAGCTAGCATCTTAGCTTGAGAAAGGTAATCAAAAATACTTCTTCCATGTTGGGATGATGGCTATATTCTGTGTCATTGTTACAAGAACTGTAGCCCAATGTTTGGTGAAGTCTTCTTAGTTAAGTTTGATGCAGTTTTCCAAGATTTTTTAATGTTTAAACACACTAAACTGGCTGAGTTTCATTGAAATCAATGGAGCTGCTGCGAGTTTGTACATGCACCAGTATCAAGTGGACATGTGACTAGTGTTCTAAAAATTGCCTGAGTGAAAGTCCCAGTGTTTCCCCTACCATTGTGCAAGGGGGGCGGGAGCCCGCTAACGAGATGGTCCACCCCTCTAAGAATTTCACAGCATGTAATCATTTTTATTTAAATAAGGCCAGATCAAGTCTACAGCTATTTTTTGCATCCCTCCATATGCACCTCTCGCCAAACTTGGGGGGAAAAAGACGGCGCAGAGCGAGGCTGAGCACTGTGTGTGGTCCTCACAAAGAAAGAAGACTAGCACACGTGTGTGTGTGTGTGTGTGTGTGTGTGTGTGTGTGTGTGTGTGTGTGTGTGTGTGTGTGTGTGTGTGTGTGTGTGTAGCAACTAGCATCTCATGAATGTTCTTAACATTTGGAAGTTTGAATGGTTGCAACTACATCAAGCAAGCAGGAGTAGTTAGGTGGTAAACAATTGCACAGGAGGACCAAACAGGCTCTCAACATTGTGCAATTCCAATGCACACTAATAATATTAATCATCATCATCATCATCATCATCGTCGTAATAATAACAACAACAACAACAACAATAATAATAATAAACATTAAAATAACAATAGGGCTTCACAGCAATTTCACTGTCCAGTCCTAATAATACTGATAAACAATAGAATAAAAAAGATCATTGCAGCCCTTTCGCTACTCAGGTTTAATAATAATAATAAACATTCGAATAACAATAGGCCTTTGCAGTGCTTTTGCTGTTCTGGCATAATAATAAAAATGGAATTGATACAAGAGGGTTCCATGCTCTGTATCTTTACTTGTGCTTATTTTTTACTAACTATTTTTACCAAAATAAAACAACAACAAAAAAAAAACTCACTTTAGCATCCGTTCATTTGTCTCTTCATCCATGTTGATTGGTATGTGGGAAGATGAGTAAATTATACCAAAGGACCCCAGGGGTTGATGGGTAATAGGGGAGGAAGTCTGGCGGGCCGATAGTCCACTGACTGAGGGAGAGTCTCTTAGGACAGATGAAAATGGTAGACAAGTTGGAGCACAGGACACAGACATGTTCACCACCTCCACCATTTTCTTGTTCACAAAGGCCAGGCCTGAGTTAGAAATCTTTGAGGCTGTAGTCTGACAGTCACTTGTTGTTGTTCCATTGGTTCTGGGGGAAACCATTGATGGTATTTCCATGGTGGTCAGGCCTGTCAGCTCACATGGCCGTGGTGTGACAGTATATTTATTGGACTGTGACTGTTTTTGGGAGGTCTGTAAGGAATCCATATGTGGTTTTTCTTCAGTGCCTTGCAGTTTTCTCTGATGCACACTCTGGGACTCATCCTCGGAGCTAATGCCTTCCTGCTTTGCTGCACTTTCATGCACACATGATTTGTTTCCACAGCTGCAAGATGCTGTCTCTGAATGCCCCAAATCCATATCATTTACTGAAGTTCTTCTTCCACTTGTGTGTGTTTGATGGTTCTTTTCCTCCCACTGATGGCCGATAACAGCACTTTGCTTYACAGAAGATCTTTCTACAAAGTCTTGTGGAAGCAACCTTTCAGACTCATTACTCAACACTGACACTGATGGGTATTGCTGGAATTTAGTCTTTTCTGAACTTCTGTTCTTGAGAATTTGATCAGGAACACTGACTAACTGAGACAATTCACTCTGCTCTGAGAACAACTCCAAATCCTGGAGATGAACTGTGTCTGTGTCCTGGTTGAGCAGTACACGCCCCTCGTCAGCATCTTCTGGGCTACTTATTTGAGGTGCGGAAAGTGACTTGGTCAGTTTACTGAGCTGTTTTTGTTGTTGATCATCCTCATAGGGTAGGGAGTTGATGGAGGTGAGTGAGGCCTGTATACCTCCACATGGAAGTCTGCCATTGCTCTCCATCTGCAGACCTTCTACACAGCTGCGATGGAGAAGATGATTCAAAACAGTTTGCTTTGGAAGCTCCTGTTCACTAGAAAAATCCAGCGAAGGCCGTCCCTGCAGTTCAATTTCCATAGGCCATGCTACTGAGCTGGGTTCACTCTCAATGCCTGAGTCAGAGATGAAAGAGGATGAGCGTTTCATGACCTTATAGCCAACAGAGCCTCCACAATGGCTCGTTTCTTTTCTCATGTCTCCAGAAATGAAAGGTGTAACTGAATGCATAAGGGAGGTAAGAAAGGTGTTAATGGGAACATTTTCACTGTCATCATCAATGGAGTGACTAGAAGGCATGGCAGAGTCAGACTCTTCTTCAGTGTTTACATTCTCTTTTGCTATATTGTGGTTTCTACCATCACAGTGTTGAATAATATTTTCTGTGACTTTGTGAACAGAGGAGTCATTCATTTCATGACTCAGGCCTCCTTCTTCCCTGTATGAAATCACACCATAAGGCCTAACTGCACAGTCAGTCCAGCTGGAACTACAGTTCTCCTTGTGTTGGCTTTGACATTTTGCTGGTTCTTTCATTTTCTCTGCTTCAGCTGCAGATAGTTCAGTACCATGCTTAGTCTGAATGAGGTTCAAGGTACTTCTTACATCTGTTCTGCTCTGATGTATAATACTTGAGACATCCATGGGCAGCTCCAAGTTTTCATCACTGTCTGARAAATCATGGGGTGTTGCTGGTGATCTGTTGTTCTGGGTTCTCTCAGGAAACATTTTCACAGGACTTATAGTGAAATGTGAGTTGGTTTGATCCCTGGTGGTTTCAGGCTTTGGCGAAAGTGACTCTCTCTCTGGAAAAACAAAGATATTCTGTTTGTAGTGATTAATTTTGCTCTGAGAGAATGAATGAAAAGATCAATCAATCAATCAATCAATCAATCAATCAATCAATCAATCAATCAATCAATCAATCAGTCTTTAGTTACAAAGCATCCCTCATAATGTGCTTTAAACTAAATAAAAATTGAACAAAAGGAAAACAATAAAACATATACAAAATGACCACATAAAATATTATGTAAAACAGTAAAAGGTTGTAAAAATGACTAAATAATGGTAACTCAAACATACATTCATGCATCTTCTTCTGCTTATCTGGGGTCAGGTTGCAGGGGCAGTAGCCTAAGCAGAGAGGCCCAGACGTCCCTCTCCCCCAGCCACCACATGGGCCAACTCCTCTGATGGAATCCCAAGGCATTCCCAGGCCAGCCGAGAAACATAGTCCCTCCAGCATGTCCTGGGTCTTACTCTGGRTCTCCTCCAAGTGAGGCATGTCTGGAACACCTCACCAGATAGGCATCTAGGAAGGCATACTAACCAGATGCCCGAGCCACCTCAACTGACTCCTCTCAATGTAGAGGAGGAGCGGCTCTTAGTCCTTCTCAGATGACAGAGCTTCTCACCCTATCCCTAAGGGAGAGCCCAAACACCCTGTGGAGGAACCTCATTTTGGCCATTTGTATCCGCAATCTCGTTCTTGGACACTACCAAAAGCTCGTGACCATAGAGGAGTGTAGGAATATAGATCAACCGGTAAACTGGGAGCTTCGCTTTTTGACTCAGCTCTCACTTCATGATGACAGATGTACAGCGCCCGCATCACTGCAGATGCAGTAACAATTTGCCTATCAATCTTCCTATTCATTATTCCCTCATTCATGAACAAGACCCCAAGATACTTAAACTCCTGCACTTGGGGAAGGGACCTCTTCCATGACCCRGAAGAGGCACTCTGCCAATTTCTGGCTCAAGACTATGATGTTGGATTTGGAAGCACTGATCCTCATTCTGGTCGCTTCACACTCGACTTTGAACTGCTCCAGTGAAAGCTGGAGATCACAATCCAATGAAGTCAATAGATTCACATCATCTGCAAAACGTAGTGGTGCAATCCTAAGGCCACCGAAATGGATCCCTCAGCACCTTGACTGTGCCTAGAAATTCTGTCCATCAAAGTTATGAATAGAATCTTGAAGAAGTGAAGGAAATTTTGTAATCAATTAATTGGATATTAGATGCAGTATTGTATATTAAAGTATACTTTCTGATCATTGCAGCCTTTAAGTTTAAACAGAATGAGAGTTGGTGTGTGTGTTGTGTGTTCTTTCTTTAGTCTAAACAAAAATGAGTTATGTTCTGACGTCTGACGTAAGAGGTAACACCTCCACATGTGTAACCAGGAAGAGATGTACATTATAAGGTCAATTCATTATTATAGTAGAAAAAAGTTGTTAGTGTTCTGCAAAGTCTCTGCTTAGAGCAGGGCCCCTGAGTTTTGTTTGGGTTTTCAGCCCAAGGTCTTATGGTGAGGCCTGTGCTGTGCTGTACTGTGAACCTGATTGGAGTCAGAAGATTGAGAATAAAGTTTTGAGAAGAAATCCAGCAGATTACTGTTTATTCAGACATTTTTTGAACAACACATATTTTTCCTACAATTTGGTGACCACTGACCATGATAGATGATCTTGAATAAACAGAGAACATTGGATTTTATTTTTGGCTGTTGAAGAAACTGAGAAGATTTTGAAACATCATCTGCTGAGAGTGAGTACAGAAAAGCTTCAAGATGTCTCCTTTCTTTTCCAAAGAGGATTTCTGCCAGCTTCTCCAAAAGGCAACGGTGCTGGAGCTCAAGATTCATCGTCTGGAAGAGATGAATGCTTTGGAGGACTCAACATGTGATCAAATGGGTGAGAAGGCTAAGAGGAGAGATCAACATGGAGAGGAGATGGGAGCTGTTTCTGAGAGTAAAGCTGTATGGAACTCTCGGGGCCAGACCAAAAGATCTTTTAGGAATGATTCAGCTCTTAGATGACAACGGATGGCCAGAGTTACAGAGAAATGCTTTTACCCTACCAGCACGGAGAAGAATGCAGCAACAGGCTGGGATCAAAACAACTGATAACAGCCAGAGAAATGAAGACAGAACAGACTTTCTTCAAAACAGTTTCACACCACTGGAAGAAACTGGTGTAGGAATTACTCTTAATGAAATCAGGGCCAGCCTATTTTCATAAATGTAATCCAGCAAGACC